TGTGTGTGTGTGTGTGTGTGTGCTTCTAAGTGCAAAAAGTCTGCATATAACTACTTGTGTGTGCATATCAATAAATTGTCCAAGACAAGGCTGTATCCTTGCCGCAGCCTAACCTTATTTTTTATCTGCACTGTGTGTCCTTGAAACAAAGGTCATTCTGTCAAATTTATGAAGATGTGCATTTTGGGGGCATGTTGTGCTTATGAACATTGGTGGTGTACAGGCGTCTCTGTCGGTGCGAGTCCAGGATGGAAAGCTTGCCTGCTGCAGCTGAGTTAAAGTGCAGCACTTTGAAGGAAAGGGCAGCTCATAGCCGGTGCTCTCCTGCTCTGCCTCCGTCTGTAAATCTGCCAGTGAAAACCTATTAATTATCTCCTAGAAGGACCTGCTCGCTGGCCGGCCATCACTAGCTGTCACTTTTTATGAGATCTCTCCTCTCTCTGCTGGTGCATTTTGTCGAAGAAGCGTGCTCCAACTGCAACATTTAACTGCGGAAAGCCTCCTCTTGCTTTTTGTGCAGTCATGGGCATGACTAATGAAAACAGAACCGTAACCCGATCCGTCTCCTCACTCGTGCTGGATTTGAGCAGGACAGTGTATATTTGAGTCTCGAGCTGTATCATAAATTAACTTTCATTCCTTCCCTAATTTGGTTGATTAATTTTAATCAAGGTTAATGAATTTCTCAATATTTCATAGCCACTGCAACTCTCCCCCCCTCTGAGCCGTGAGCGGCATCGGGTGAGCGCGTCAGAATGATTAGTGACATCGTCATAAACTGCTCCTGGAGGAAACGGTCGCTACGGGTGCCTCTTGTTCGGAGGACCTGCAACCTGCCTTTTCAAAATAATCACAGAGGCAGGACTAGGGCATTTCGAAGTCAAGGTAAAAGTGCTGTATTTTGAAGGGAAAGGGCCGCCGCTTTTCTCTCTACACCTCGGTCTGTAAATCTGCCAGAGGAAAGCTATTAATTATCTCCTAGAAGGACCTTTCTAGGAGGCTGGCCAGCACTAGCTGTCACTTTTTATGAATTCTTCTCTACTGGTGCACTTTGAGGATGGCCCCTGCTTCAGTATTTGGCCATAGAAAAGTTCTCCTGCAATTCAGCCCCCTTTTATGACCTCTCTGATTTCCAGGAGAGACAGGCGAAAGGGGAAAAATTGATTTGGGGTTGTTGGGGTTGTTTAGAGTTGCATTTTTTTTTTCCTGGCTGGATAGCTAAGCATGGAAGGCAACTGTACACAAAGTCTTACAAGGGAAGCCAAGGCAGGAGTCTGCCGGGAGAGCTTTTAGTTGTTCTTTTTTGTTTTTGTGTTTGATGTCCTTTTTTCTAAGATACACAGCTGATGTGTGTGTGTGTTTGTTTGTTTCGTATGCAGGAGAATGCCAAAGCTGCCCTGAAAATGAAAGACCGCCAAATGACTGACCGCGTAACACAGACCGAGCACATGGGGCCAGAGGTGAGAAACACACAGACCACGCAAACACTTTCTTTTGCTCTGTCAGACACAAACACATGAAAAAAACTGTGTACTACATTTCTAAGCACTGAAAATATTATTATATTTATTTAAGGATGTCTGAAGCTGTATGAGTGAATATCACGAGATGAGGCTCCGTTTTAACTCAAGATTTTCACTTCTTCCCTCTCTGTCCTTATGCTTTGTGATTATAAATTTTATGCTGAGCCGCAGCAGCCATCCCTCACTCAAATAATCCTTCATATTCTCTCTAGAGATTGTGTACTGCAGTAACATTCATATTTCCGTCCACTACTTGCTCAGAGAGAGCTGCGCTGCTTCCTACCTACCTGCCTGGCGAACACCCTCAGTTGACATGGCCTCTTTCGCATCACAGAGGGGCTGACAGTATGGGAGCGAAGCAGACTTAATGGATGACTGTCTATAAATGGCTGCCTGTAACGGAAACAGGAGCAGAGTTCTGCGGTCTGTTTCTTTGTTTCTCTTTTTTGCTCTTTCAAAACGCTTCTTTTCATCTCCTCTTTCACTCCAGAGTTTCTTTTCATATCTTTAATCCCACTCAAGCACTCAAAGTTGGCGCGAATTATTGTCGAAGAGGGGAAATATGTCTCATTGTGTGAGCAAGTGGGTTCACATCACTCACACTAACACAGAAAATACACACACAACAGATAATGTTTGACTTTACCAATACAATGTCAACTACATAATTAATGCATGCATGACTTGCACATAACAAAAATAGAACTTTCCCTTGGTTTTCACGTATATGCTGCAGAACGTGTACTACTTTGAACTTTAGTTACACCTACACAGAGAACTCTCATTATTATATTTTGTAAAACATTTTTTCATACAGATTATGGCAAAGAATTACATTAAGGGGTTATTATTTAAGTCCAATCATCACTTACAGAGGACCTCTTAAGGTGCAAACAGCAGTAAAGTGCTCCATGCACCAAAATGATCCACTCCTGTGTGGACTCACATGCTATAACTGTAAGATTAACCCAAAACAATTATGCCTGTTGCACACAAGAGAATTTTCAAATCTTAATTTCTTAGTGGCGAGGGAAGAGACTTGGGAACTCACAGAACCAGTGTGATCAAACGTGATTTCAGAATAGAAACAAACATGGACTGCCGGCATTGACAGCTGGGTAACGTTTTTCACAAAAAGTAAAACTCAAAACCTCAAGTTTTTCCTCCTTTTCTAGTGTCACTGTAATCAGAGACAAACACAGCTTCTAAACACTTACGCTTCCCAGTCAGCTCGCTCTCAATGGCTATTGTGGGTCTCTGCTTACTTGCTTAATCACTATCCCTTTCACACTACACAAACTTGTTTGATATTTATGAATCCAAATCGGGGAAGCTCTGATTCAGTCTGTGACATTAAGATTATGTCTGTAAACCCCTCACACTATCATGACCATTCCACCAGATAATCTGTTTCCGATCTGTCTCAGATCAGCGACGCTCCCTGGTTCTGAATGGGACCCAAAATCTGGCTGATTATCCTCTAGTGTGCAGGAGGCATTTTTCATAATCCCAGTAATGATTTTTGCTTCACCACATCATGTTGTACGTTTAAATCACAGGTCAGGAAACAAGCGTATGAACAGTTGTTTCAGGTGCGTCCTCTGACATAGAGGAAAAAAAGAGAGGGTTTTATTATCTCTTCCATCTAAGTGAACTTCACTTGTCCAGTTTATCTTGACAGTGTCATCGCCACCTATCATGAATTTTACTCTATAATCTTGCTGTGTGTGTGGAATATCAAAGAGTTTCTGTGGTTATTTGATCATCTTATTATTCACAGTAGATCTGGTGTTAATATGCTTTAACAGTGCGAGACTACAGATGAAACACACCTGCTGCTCTGAGATACAGCAATAAAAAGGGAGCTAATCGGCTGAATGGCTCGGCCGTCATGCAACTTACTGCTACAGCAAAATAGACCTACATTCTGCTTATTAATACTTCATCATTGAATAATATACACATGCAGTACGTGCATGTGTATATTATTCAAATGTGTAGCAGACAAGGAAAACACTAGGTACATGTTGTAGGTGTATGGCATTTTAAAATTTTATGTGTACATTTTGTGTCCTGCAACGAACATAATACAGAAGTAGTTTTGGCACTCCTGTCTAAGTCTGTAGACATCAAGAAAATGCACTGAATGGACACAGAAATTGCACTGGTGGATTGTTAGAGACACTCCCTCTACTTTGGGGTTTTGTTGGGTTATTATTTAGTTTTTCAGCACTGCACAGTGAGTCACTATAACAGGTGCGAGCAAGAAAAAAACCCTTCTGCCCCTCAGAAAGATGTCACTTTGTCGACCACGGCCACATGAAGTTACAGCCCCGACATATAATTTCATCATATCCGTCATCATCCTTCCTTTATCACCTTTTTTCTTTATTTTTCCCTCCCTCTGTTTCTTTCTTGTATTCCACTGTCAAACACACACAGCGTAGATATGACTGTGCCTTGCTGCCATCAGTGACTAATGCATTTCTCAATGCAGCCTAATGGCCTCACAGAATTTTGTTGGTGCTGCCGGCTAAAGCAAGCACATGGTGTGGGTTTGTGTGTGCATGTGTCACAGGGCAAATTTGTATGCATGCCCATGTGTTTGTCTTTGTCTGAGTGTATGCTTATGCAAGTGTGTGTGTGTGTGTGTGTGTGTTGTGAAACAGCCATTAGTCCTGGCCTTGGACAGTAAAGTCAATAAAAATGCTGTAGAAAGTGTCAAAGTAACTTCAGGCAAACTGGATGCATTTATGCCTGTGACAGTATAATTCACTTATTAATATGACTGTTTATCTGGCTTGCGTTGTCATGCCTCATATGGCATAATTTGTACATTTGTGTGATGATGCCCTCAACAGAGCTCTACTTTGGTCAATCAGTTACTTACTTTTTGTCCAGACCACAGATTAAGATGGGCAACGCATCTCCACTTCCTCCAGTTGTACGAGTCCGGCCATCTTGCTCTTTTCATGTCATTTGGATCATCTGCACAGTAGTTATTGCAGTGTAGAGCAGCAAGGTCCTGCATATACTCCTGCTTAACCAATCAATCAGCTTTCGATCATGATGTTTCACCCCATTATTCTAACATCAAATAACTAAAAACCAAACGTATTGGAAAAACTGATAACCTGAACGAACACAAGTGTTATAAGAACAACCCTAAATGACGGGAAACCATCAGTGACATCCAATAACATGGAAGAGTCAGGATTTGTGACCTATACTGCAGCCATCCACCAGGGGGCGATTCAGGTGGTCTGACTTTACATAATTTTAATTTGTTTGATAAGCTCAGTACTGGTGGGTTTTTTCCCTGACATTCTGAATAATGATAATTAAATTAATTAAAGGTAATTTAGTCAATCACCTTGATTTTCCTCACCAGGGGGTTAGTGAGTAGGATGCTATTTCATTTTTCTTATAGTAAAGTATGATGAAAGATTTTTTCTCTGAAGATTCACATGGTTATATATCCTCTGACGTGAAGTGCTTTGATTAATTGGCAGATAATCTTTTAATTGAAGTAGTTCCACTAAGTGTTTCATCTACTCACAGAAAAGTGATAGTATTCCATATATATGGGCTGTGGGTATAACCACAAATTACTAATTGTGCAACAATCAAAAAGTATTTGATTTATATTATGCTCTATTGTTTGTTTTGTTGTGTCATGAATCAACATGGTACGTTGAGGATGGAAAATTAGGCGCCATACATGTACAAGATGTCGACAAAGATGTCAACTTGAAAAACAACAATATTCAAAAGCTTTTGGTGATTAGATTGGCAATGGTGTCCACATGCTGTAAACAAAAACCTGGCTTTTTGCAGCATATGAATATTTTATGTCCTGCATGCTCTACCCAGACTTCACCCATCACCTGAATGTTGTGTAATGAACATTGAAATAAAAGCAGACCACAGGGTCATTTAAAGGACCAGCCATGACAAAACGAGGGCCTGTACCTAAAAGAGGGGCTGCTTCTGCTGCAATGGACATGGTTCAGGTTAATGAAGTCTTATATGGACCAGAACACTGTAATGCCAAAGACTGGTCTAACTTCTTTTACCACCAACCTCCTTTATAGAACAATCTGGTCAAACAATAAGGTACGAGGTACATGGAGTCACAAAAGTACAGTTGAGTGCTCAAAACAAAGTCCAAACTCAGACTTTGGCCTGCGGCACACCATATGGCAAAAAATCCCGAAGATGGAAGGAGGTAACAGCTGCCGTTGCTGCAGCTTACATCTGCAGAAGAAATGGCCTCAATTTACACCGATTTGCAAAAAGGTATTAGTCCTGAATAACAATATTTATACTTACGTGGATATGAAATGGCCCCTTAAATATCAGGATTTAAGATTTCGGTCTTATAGCACAGACCTGCCATATATCCAGTACTGGTCTGTTTAAGAAGAAGTAGGTCAATAGAGAGTGTTGGGGAATTTGTCAGGGACATGTTTCGGAACTCATGTATTGTGTGGTGTCTTGTCGGGACCACATGCGGTAACCTTATCATCTTAATACAGTAAGTCCAGCTTTTGTATATCCAGCCAGTGCCCCTCCGTATGGCAATGCTGTCTATTATAAGATCAGTACCTAGCTATTGAGTCCTCCATATGCTCAGGGCCCTTGAGTAGATTGGCTCTTAATGAGAAGAGCAGCTGGCTGCCCGCTAGCAAGCTAGGCTAGCAGCACAGGTGACTTAACTCAGCAGTAGCTCAGAGCATGTGTGGCCTGATTTTAGCCCCCCCCTCATGTTTGCATGCCTGTGTGTGTTAGAGAGAGAGGGGAGACAGAGAACACAGAGAGGGGGGGGGGGGTCTGAGTGTGTATTCATGTGTGTTTGGGAGATGCTGCGGCATGGAACAGGCCTAAATAGGTTAGCTACCCTAGTGCATTGAGGACAGTCGGCTAGCAACAGAAAG